AAAAAAAAAGAAGTGATATGTATAAAATGGAATATTAATCAGTGATAAAAAAAAAGAATGAGACCTTGCCATTTCCAATAACATGGATGGACCTAGAAGGTATAATACTAAGTAAAATAAGTCAGTCAGAGAAAGACAAATATCATGATTTCACTTACATGTTGAATCTAAAAATCAAAATGAACAGCAACAAAATAAACAGACTCTTAAATACAGAGAACAAACTTGTAGTTGCCAGAGGGGAGAGGAGTGGGGAGATGGGCAAAATAGTTGAAGGGGATTAAGAAGTACAAACTTCCAGTCATAAAATGTATGTTACCGATATGAAAAGTACAGCATAGAGTATATACTCAGTAATATTGTAATAGTGTTGTCTGGTGACAGATGGTGACTGTACTTATTGTGATGAGCACTGAGTAATGCATGGAATTATAGGATATGTTGTACACCTAAACCTAATATAACATTGCACGTTAATTATATTTAAATTTAAAAATTCCTTTTGATATTTGCCATCTCAACCTTAAATGTAACAGGAAAAAAAAATTTTTTTTTTGAAAATAAAATATTTCTTCTACACAGACCATTTAACTCTCTTGAGAAGCTAACTTGCTCAACATAAAAACAAACAAACAAACAAATGGGCGCCTGGGTGGCTCAGTCGGTTAAGCGTCCAACTTCAGCTCAGGTCATGATCTCGCTGTCTGTGAGTTCGAGTCCCTCTCAGGCTCTGTGCTGATAGGTCAGAGCCTGGAACCTGCTTCAGATTCTGTGTCTCCTTCTCTCTCTGCGCCTCCCCTGCTCACATTTTGTCTCTCTCTCTCAATAACAAACGTTAAAAAAAATTTTTTTTAATTTAAAAAAAACACAAACACAAAAAACTCTGTTCAGTGAGGTGATCCTGCTATAGATGGTGTTTGTTTTTTGTTTTTTTTTAAAAGACCATAGAACATCTATCTTAGAGGCAAAGTGCACATTTAACACATTATTATAGCTGGTATTGTATGAAGAAAGAAAAACCTACCTGTCCTAACCAGGAGACTCGTGGCCAGGGCTTTTTCTGCTTGATACTTGTTGATGTCAAAACTTCTAATCTTATCTCCATGCTTCTTGCAATGACCAATTAGGTAAAAAGTCACAAGATGCTGTAAATAATAATAATAATCAGTAGCCCATAAGATTTACAAGGATTCTAATTTAGAATGTTCACAAAGTTTTGGTAAATCACTTTTTTCATCGGCTCAAGTTAACTGTCTTTTTAAGGTAAGATATAAAGAATGCATTCAGTATCTCATCTTATGTCTTGAATAGTCAAGCAAAATGTATTTGCTTTTTTCACAAGTTGTTTCTCGGGCTATGAAGATAAAAATAAAGTAGGAAAAGATCTTGACAATGAAGTTTCTATGTGATATGCTTTTCTCAGTGCCATAGGTTGTATTTCCCAAAGATGGCCACAACAGTATCTCCCATCCTACATACTCTTCCTCAACTATGACTTTGACACTTCTCTCATTGAGAGCTCTGCCCCATGCCTCATCCCTTAAAAGTGGGTGAGATTTTAATTATTCTAACCAAGAGTAAAATGGAAGTGATGTTATACATTTCCCAAGGCTCAATCATAAAAAGCAATCATAGCTTCTACCTGACCCCCTGGAGTAATTACACTTTTGAAGCCTTCAATCTCCATATAAACAAACAACCCTGAGCCATCGAGCTGTAAGAAAGTCCAAACTAGCCCACATAAAGATGAAGCCCCAAGAAAACATGAAGTGAAGATGCATTAGCAAGTACCCATGCTGGGTATGGAGATAGTTGCAGTGGAAGCCAAGAAGAGTTTGTCAGAGCCCAAGCAGGGTGAGGAAAGCATAATCCATTCTTGGGAGAATCCTGGGAGGATGTTCACACAGTGTGACATGACAGCCTGGCACAGTGTGCTGGCACCCAAACAGAGAGAAACACAGAAGTCACACTGAAAAGGATCCCACTGACCAAACTGAAAACAGCTGGAGGATCAAAACATATTACGGCAATGGACTTAAAATCCATAGAATAAAATAGAAAACCATGAATCCATAGAATTATGAATAAGTAAACAAATAAATTGAACATTTCATAAAAATGGCATATTTACATTGTTATAAAGTATAAAAATACCCTATAAGGTACTCATTAGTTACAAAAAAAGAGTAACTTTATGATGAAAAAGCCAGGCAGACTCCATTTAATCCAGTGATCAAAATGAAAATTATCAGAAATGGGACAACTGGAAATCATGTATCACCTAATAGGTAAAATGAGAAAAATTTCTGTGACATCTGTGCTAAAGACACATAACCTGAATCTAATCACAAGGAAATATCAGGAAAACCCAAGTTAAGGGACATTCTACAAAATAACTGATCTGAAAACTTTCAAAAACCTTGAAAGTTTCAAGGGTATGAAAGTCAGGAAAAAGATCAAGAAACTGGTCCCAGGATGCCTGGGTGGCTCAACTGGTTGAGGGTCTGACTCTTGATTTTGGCTAAGGTCATGATTTGGCTAAGGCTCATGGGACTGAGCCCCACATCAGGCTCCACTGAGCATGGAATTTGCTTAAGATTCTCTCTCTCCCTCTGACCCTCTCCCCCACTGCATAGTCTCTCTCTCTCTAAATTTAAAAAGAAAGAAAGAAAAGAAAAGAAAAGAAAAGAAAAGAAAAGAAAAGAAAAGAAAGAAAGAAAGAAAGAAAGAAAGAAAGAAAGAAAGAAAGAAAAAGAAAGAAAGAGAGAGAGAGAGAGAGAGAGAGAAACTGGTCCCAAGTGGAAAATCTGGTAACTAAATAAATTGCAATGAGTATCTTTTCATGATAAAAGACAATATTGGCAACAGGCAAAACTTAAATAGAAAGAGAAACTGAGGACGATATGGTTGTAATGTATGAATGCTAATTTTGATTTTGATGTGGTGTCTTCCAATTTTGGAGGTGAATGTCCTTGTTTGCAGAAAATATACACTAAAATATTCAGAGGTAAGGGAACATCAGTTGGTCACTCTCAAATGGTTTGTGAAAAAAAGTTCTTTGTACTATATATGCAATTTTCCTGTAAGTTTCTGTTACAAATTAATTTTTTTTAATTCTTAAAATTGTGAAATCTTGAACAATGATGTAATTTGGTCATCGGTCTGGACTGTATTCAATCATTAACCATATTCTTTCCTCCTTTTTAAAAAATTCTATATTCCTGGGGCACTTGGGTGGCTCATTCGGTTGAGCACCTGACTTCAGCTCAGGTCATGATCTCACAGTTTGTGGGTTCAGGCCCTGCCTCGGGCTCTGTGCTGACAGCTCAGAGCCCGGAGCCTGCTTCGGATTCTGTGTCTCCCTCTCTCTCTCTCTGCCCCTCCCCCACTCGTGCTCGCTCTCTCTCGAAAATAAATAAATGTAAAAAAAAAAAAATTTTTTTTTTTTTAAATTCTATATTCCTGGGGCACCGGAGTTGCTCAGTTGGTTCAGTGACCGACTTTGACTCAGGTTATGACCTTCCAGTGCATGAGTTCAAGTCCTGCACTGGGCTCACTGCTGTCAGCACAAGCCTGGTTCATATCCTCTGTCCCCCCCGCCCTGCCCTCCCCTATTTGTGCTTTTTCTCCCTCAAAAAAAAAAAAAAAAATTTAAATTCTATATTTCTAATTCTATTTAGTTTATGAATTCCAAAATAGTTGATTTGGTATGATTAAAGATCTTTAAAAAGAAAGTAGCTGAACTTTTTAATAAAATAAGCTTTAAAAGAAAAACTATCCAACTACAGCAAAGAGGACCTATTAAGATGCTAGCCAACCTCATATTTTATACTGTAACATTATGTTTTTCAATTACTCAGAACTCTAAAAATCTAAATGACTACTTCCCACTATTTTTATAAATTTTAAATATAACTAAAATTATAAATAAAAGAAATTATTTAAAAAAGTGAACCAAAAGCAATAGGAATGATTTTATCAGACAAGCATCATTTGTAGCTCCTAATGAAATAATAGGCCTAGTCAACAGTATCAGTGGTTGCTAAAACTATTAGGTGAAAGTAGATGAGGAACTCTGTAACAGATGAACTGACATGGCCTACACTCACTAATAAATCTTAAAATTACTATGAGACAGGGGCACCTGGGTGGTTCAGTCAGTTAAGCACTGGACTCTTGGATTTTGGCTCAGGTCATGGTCTTGCATTTCAGTGGGCTTGAGCCCCGAGTCAGGCTCTGAGCTGGCAGTGTGGAGGCTGCTTGGGATTCTCGCTCACCCTCTCTCTATCTCTCCCCTGCTTGCACTCTCTCTCTCAAAATTAAAAAAAAAAAATGTTTTTAAGTTACTGTGAGACAAAGACATTATATCCCTCCTGATATGTTGCTACATAGATAGGAGGTACACAGAACCATCTAAGAAATATTCTTTAAAAGATAAAAATTTTAAACTGAACCTTAATCTGTCTGACTCTAAACATCAATGAACAAGAAATAAAGAAAATAAAGGAACATATTAAATACACCAGGAAAATAAAATCAACCAAATTCACAATGTAAAAAATGCTATAGGATAAATGATGCAGTTGGTTCAACAAATAAATGGTATTTTAACGGGGGGAAGGAGTGGGGCACCTGGGTGGCTCGGTCAGTTAAGCATTTGCCTTTGGCTCAGGTCATGATTTCACAGTTCATGAGTTCAAGCCCCGCCATCGGGCTCTCTGCTGCCAGCACAGAGCCTGCTCTGGACCCTCTGTCCCCTTCTCTCTCTCCCCATCCCCTGCTGTCTCTCTTAAAAAATAAATAAACATTAAAAAAAATTTTACAGGGGAGAGGGAGAAACTTATATATGTATTACATAGATATAGATATGCATATATGGGGTAATGTTAAGAGACATAATAACCAAATGTAATATACAAAGATCTATTTTGGACTTTAATTCAAATAAACCAGTTAGAAATAGATATTCAGCAGCTGCCAAAAAGAATAAGGAAGGTCTAGGGGCGCC